GGCCAACCGATGAACAAACACTTAGAAATATTTCTAAGTCCTGAACATTGCGCCCTCGGTGAAAGGTTCAACTGACTGAAGATTACTAGTAGCCGAGGGCTACGAGAAGCACTACATTTGGAAGAATATATTCTAAGTCCTAAACATACATTCAGGAGGGCGAAGGCATACATTCAAAAAAAACGGGAGCATACATTCAAAGAAAAACGGTCAAGGGAAACACATTATACACCAAAAGCCCGAAGGCATGTACTCATGAAATTCAAATGTACATTACAGAGGTCCGAAGGGCAAAGGAATACAAGCATTCATTACAGCGGGATTGTTCAAAACATGTTGAATTAAGAAATTACAAATTAACATCCCCGGGGGCCGTCTCCTCCGAAGGCTTTGAAGTAACCTCTGTACCGGCCTCAGGTTCGTCACCCTCAGCCTCCTTCATCAGCTCGGTGTCCTCCAAGTCTGGCCTCTCGGCATCGGAGGGGAGAGGAACACGGACGTCTGGCTGCAGGGGGGGAAGTCCGTATGCTGCCGGGTCGAAATCCTTTTGCTCAATCTTCAGGTGGCGGGCCATCCTCCGGTAGATAAGGGCTTGAGTGAAGAACTCGCCCCCATCATAGTACTGTTTACCCTTTCGGGAAACCCACTCCACACCGGGCCCATCGCACCACTCGACGACCGAGGACAGCCACTGCTTGTGCTCCTCTGCTCGCCACCCCCTGCCAAGAAACCAGAGATGGCGTCCCCTCGGGCTTTCTCGACGGCCTCCGCCTTGGCGGCCTCGGCCTCCCTAGCAGCTCTCTCAAGGGCCTCAGCTGCGGACCTTTCAGCCTCGGCCTTGCCCCGGTCTGCGGCCTCCGCCCGCTGGGTCATCTGCCGAAGGCTCTCCTCCAGCATAGCCATTTGCCGGATGGCATCAGAATTCTGGCGGATGAGCTCCCGCATCTTGGCATCCTACTCGGCCTTGCGAAGATGCCACTCCTCTAGCCTCCGGGTCTGCTCTCCGAGGGCAATGCAGGTCTACAAAAAATACAGAAGTTAGGAAGGCCGTACATTATTTCCTAGCACAAAGTAAAAACGGTAAACTGTCAAAAACTTATCGTGAGGGAAGACCGGAGGATCCTGTCCTCAAGGGCTTGGTCGTCATCAGCCCCGAGGGCTGCTCTGTCAATCTCGGGGGTCATACCCCTCAGAAGCACCCTCGGGTCAGCCGTGCAATTCGTCACGGCCATTCCTACCGGGAGGGAAACCGTCAGGACCTCAGAAGATGGCTCCCGGACACCCCCCGGCACCTCCGCCACCGTCATCTCCTCATCATGCGCCCCGGAGGCGGGACAATCGTCAACAATAACCACCGGGGGACCTTTCCTCCCGGCGTCTCCCGTCTTCGGCTTTTTGCCCTCGGGAGCCTTGCCCGCGCCTTTTCTCTTGGCAGCAGCAGCAGCATCAGTGTTTGGGGCCGCCGACGGCCCCTCCGGCTTCTTGAAGAAGTTGCCGGCGGGTTTTGGGATGCCAGCATCCGTTCCCTTCGGGGCCTTGGAGGACTTTTTCTTCTTCAAATCAGCGAGCCCCGTGACGTTCATCATGTTGACTGGGATACCTGCAAAACAATACGGGGTTAAAACCGAGGGGTCACTAACCGATGGCACAAAAAAAGGAACAAACAACAAAAAAAACTATGTGCTAAAGTACGAAAACGAGGAGGCCCTCAGCCACTACCTCCGGAGGCTCCCTCAAATGCCGGGAACTTCTCATTTGTTTCCCCGAGGAAGCGATACCGCCGGAACCCGAGGGTGTAGAGATCCTCCTCTTGGGTGCACTCCTTGATGGTTATGTTTTTGTCCCGGCCCTCCGGGATCTTTGCCAGGACCCTGCCATCTTTCTCGAGGGCGGCGCTCCTCCTCTTCTCGTGCCTCCTAAACCGGTCAGGCAATTCCCTCGGAAAGGGGCTCTCGGACAACTTCACGTAACACCACCGGTCTTTCCACCCTTTGTTCGAGGAGGGCGCCTCGGTAAAAAACTTGAACAATGCCACCTGCTGCAGGTTTGCGAAGCCCTCGGCGTTCGCATGCCCCCCCGGCACAGGTTGAAGCTTTGGAAGAAGAGATCCAGGCTAGGTGTTACCCCCCGGGATTTGCAGAGCTGGAGGAAACCCATGATGTAGGAATGGCTGTTCGGGGTCAGTTGGCAGGGGACCAAACCCACGAACCGGAGGTACTCCCGGAGGAAGGGATGTAGGGGGAACCGGAGCCCCATCGACACAGAGAGGATGTGCACCGCAATGCAGCCCTCGGGAGCCCGGGAGAGAACGTCATCGGGACCCGGTGCCACCACGATGGCCGAGGGGCCCACGTGTTGTTGAGTGACATAAAGATCCGCCGCATCAGCTTTCGACCTTATCTCTAAGGCGGCGGTGTTCAAGTAGGAATACCCCTCGGGCATATCGAGGGGCTTCCCTTGGTCTGCAACGCTGCCCTTCTTCTTGGGGGCAGCAACCTTCTCCTTCTTTTTTCCGGGGGCCACTCAGATGGGAACCGCGTTCAGCGGCCGAGAGGTGCTGGCCTCGCCAGTTCCCCGAGGGGGGAGAACAGCAACAGTGACCCTCGCGCCCTCTTTCTGCGCCTCTTCCTCAGCTACTTGCCAGGCGAGGGCCAGCTCTTCATCTTCACACTCTTGCTCGAAGCCCTCGGCTTCCGCCTCAGCTACGAGGGCTTTCTGCAACTCCATGGCGACGACAGCGTCTTGTCCTGCAGAGGGCTGTTCGCTTGAGGACTCCACGTCCGAGATGACTTCATCCTCCATCGAGGGCGCCCCCGAGATGTCCTGGGAATCACTTTGGGAAGACATCTTTGCACTAGTTCGAGGGCTCGGAAACACTAGAGTTCTCTAAGGTACAACTACTAGAACTAAGGCCGCTACAGCTAGCTAAGGAGGGAGAATACAGATGGGGAATTGACCTTAAGACAGGGATTGATCGAAGGCGGCTGTTTCTCTCTCTAGAAATTTTGGCAGAGCTTCGCTACAATGATTTCGCACAAGGGGAAGTGTCCGGCCATGGGGTATTTATAGGCAAAAGGATCTGGGCTTGGGCCTGGAAACCGGGCCTCCGGTTGGACTACCATCATTACCAACCGTGGTTTCACCCAAACGGTGACGCCCGCCCACGGGCAGCCAACGAGCACGCACCACGTGGCAACCCCCCCCCCCCCCCAACGGCTATATCCTGACGTTACATATTCCAACGGCTATATTTTCAACGACTATATTCTGGGAGCCCCTGGGTTTTTTACTTCACTCCACTTCATCAAGAAGAGCCCCCGGGTACACTTACCCGGAGACACCCCCGGTTTGTGCCCCACACACTACATAACAGATGCCTTCGGGATCACTCCTTCAGAAGCCCAAGGCTTCATATCAGGCCACCCCTCGGGGACCCCCCCTCAGCACTTTGAGGGCCGGGTAGCCCCCGGGGAGTATGCCTCATTGACGGATAGCCTACGACACACAGGTAATGGGACCCTCGGATATCCTCATCACCAACTAATCAACAAACAGGGGACACCCCGGTAACAATTCAACTACTACCCTCATTCATTACGCCCTCGATCACCAGATTGAGGGACTCCCCTTCGGCACCTCCCAGGGTATCAAAAGCAAGCCTCCGGTTAATCAACACATGAGCCCTCAGAACGGGGAAAGCCTTCGGCATCATCATTATTCTCCATTTCGAACCAAGGTTTCACATTTTCGATTCATCGTTGGGGGAATTTGGTGCACTCTTTTTTCCTCATTAGGATTTTTTCCCACAGGGTTTTTCCTAATGAGGTTTTTAACGAGGCATCCCCCCAAAATGAAACGAAAAGCGTCAGCCTTCGGCCCACAACAGCAACGCAACTACTCTACTCCTTTTCACCACTTTGCAAGTGCCTCAAGGAGTGGGGGACTGGAGGACCCCCTCGGGAAAAATCACAAACATGACCCCTCAAGTCCCGACATGTGGGTAACTGAGGGACTGCCCTCGGCAGAATAAACAAACAGCAAACTACCCACAACTCTACAAACTACAAAAGGAACAACGGCAGAGGACAAACACAATTACTCCTTTTCCCTCAAGTACCTTTCGGCAAAAGGAGTGAGGGACTCCTGATGGAGTATATGGCCCGGGAACCCCCGGCCCACAGACTCCTACTACTCCAATAAAGGCCCAACAGGCCCAGAAAGCACAACAGGCCCAAATCACAGCGCCCAGAGTACCAAACAGCCCACAATGCGCACCAGGAGTGCCTTCGGCCTCCTGACCGAAGGCTCTAATTCTCACAGGAGGGCCAAGACAGCAAAACAAAGTTACTGGGAAAAACGGCGAAAATCAGTAGCCCTCGGCACCTGGAGCCCTCGGCACTAAGGGGGTCCCCAGTGCTCAGAGCCCTCGGCTAGTCCTCTACAGCCGAGGGCACCTTTCCCGACATGATATCCGCGCCACATGCGTACAGATCACCATACCTTGTACTACGTCCCATCCAACAGCCGCATTAAATGCGGCCACATGCGGTTGCCAGCGCCAACCAGTTGAGATGACCTCTCGGCCAATAGACGCTTGACACGTGTCCCTGTCCGGCATTTATTGCTACTATAAATAGCACCCCATTTCCCCATTTGTAACCAAGTGATAACACGCTGATAACGCTGCAGACTTTCTAAATATACTTTCTCTCTCTATACTTACTTGCTCTGATTTCTCTCTAGTTATTCCCCGTAATAACCCCTCGGATAAGCTACCCCCGGGTACACTATCCATCAATTGCATCTCTTAGTAGTTAAAAATCAACAATTTCATATTTTGAAAAGTTAAAATGAGAACAATTTAAGCATTTAACAATATCTTTTGAAAATTAAATTTCGAGTACATTATTAAATAAAATGGAATTAAAGAAGAGCTTATAAATAGTTTAAAATTCAACATGTTTCATCCATTTATAACCACATGTACGAGAAAAAAATAGGAGGCTTCAACGGCAAGATATATAGTGCAACAATATGTAGCAGCAACAGGAGGCCTTGGCGTGTTAAATTCAATCAAGAGTATGTACGCGGTGGGGGAGGTGAAGATGGTAACCTCGGACGTGCAAAAGGGCGGCGGTCAGCTGCGGCTGCCGGCTTCAAACACCGCCATGCGGAATAGTTGTGAGGTTGGGGGGTTTGTACTATGGCAGAAGAACCCTGACCTCTGGTTCCTTGAGTTGGTCATCTGTGACTGCAAGATCAGTGCTGGAAGTGATGGCAAGGTTGCTTGGACTCAATCCTCTTCCAACTCTAAACCCTCCAAAGGCCCTCCTAGACCTCTCAGAATGTTTTTCCAGGTAGGTATATTTATTGTTTGCTTTTGTATAATCCATGAATAATATACAAGAACAAATTGGAATAATATTTAAACCATGATATGGATTTAATTTGTGTATAAAAGCTTGAGAGACTTAATTAGGGCACTAAGAACGTTTTCACTTGGTTGGTTATTTTGTTATAATATACGAAGTACTTTGTAGTTTGGTTTAAGTCTAATTTTATTGATCGAGCTAGTCTTATTTATTCAAGTCTATCCTACTATATATGATTTATTTAAATCTGACGTGGTCTATGATCGGAACCACTTCAACTAAAACATTATAAAGTCCACGTCTGTACGTATATTATTATTTTCGTCCAGTGTCCCACTAACAGTAATTAGTACAAGATGTAGTAGCGCGTTTACCAAGAGAAGTGAGTTTATGTGTTAGTATTGAATTAAATATTGAGAATAAAATAAGAATGATTTAGAGGTATACGAATATTACCATATTTATAGTGAAGCAATCTTAATGAGAGTTGGGGAGTAAAAAACAAGGGAAAAGATTGAGCATGCACTTCTGGAAAGTTCCCGAAATAGGACTAAAACAGTTTCAAAATTCCAAAATAGGATTTCATGTTCTTTATCCCAAAATAGGACTAATTACTGCCATGTTTAGAAAATACTGCCATCTTTGAAGTCTGGTACTGCCAAAACATGGCAGTAACTAGTCCTATTTTGGGAATAAAAACATGACAGTCCTATTTTGGAATTTTCAAACTATTTTAGTCCTATTTCGGGTAATTATATGTCTTTGTACACTACTTCAAAATTAAAGTGATGGCGATATACCTTTTATTTTAGCTTCATGTGATCCCATCTTGTGTGCATTGATCGAAGCAATATTAACGGAAAGTAACAAATTTCTTATTATGATGGAAATAAATTGAAGTGATGAATAAACTATTATGCTTTTAACATTACTTCATTTTCCCTATTTGTTTGTCCACGTTTTGATTTTGTCGGCGCTCCTTCAATTCTTTTGAATTGTACGTTGATAAGAAAATCATTTAATACTTTGTCACTATTAATGCTTTTCTCAGCTTGCCCGTTAAAATTAAATATGGAACACACCACGAAGAAAGATTTAACATAAAGAACAATATATCAAGCAAGAAGTGGCCTAAAATTGGAGTACTGGACTTGGACTTTAGGAACCGACACAACATATAAAAACGTACCAAGACTAATGACAAATACAAATTGACTATTATAAACAACTAATTCATAATAGACCGGAACCCATAAATTGTTATGTTCGATCAGTTTCAATTTGTTTGTCAAAACCAAATCGATCAAACCCAAACAATTGTTATGACTAATGAGCCCATATATACGAGTAAAAATGTTATGGAAATCATGAATAAAACTCATAGACAATAGTATTTAATTAAAATCATGAATACGTTTTTTTTGGATAAATAAAACACACATATAAGCTAAGTATAAAGGCCTTTTGTCCTCAATAGTACAAAAATGAGGATAAAAGACAAAAATGTGACATCTTTTTTATATTTCCAAAAATATGATCAATTTCACAATTATATCCTGCAATGACAAAGTGGCTCCGGTCAAAGTGACCTCTGTCACAGTGACTCCGACCTATCGGTCAAAGTGACTGCCTGTCCACCGACCACAGTGACCGTCCGCCCAACTCCGGCCACCGCCGCTGACCACCATCGCCCCCCAGTCCACAGCTTACCATCCCACCAGCCCACCCTCAGCCCACCCCTGCCCCCTGCCCATCTTCCCAACCCCTTTCTCGGCCTCCCCTACCCATCCCTTGCAACTGCTCCACTCGCAGCCCCAAATCGATGGCCACCGCATCCACCATAGAAATACCACAACCGCGACCACAACACCTAGCCCAATTTGTCATCTCCACCCTAACCCTAGCGACCGCCGCTTCACCAGCCCCAACCCTAGCTGCCGCCATTTTGAATCCGGATCTGGTTTGTTGCTTGAAACAAGTCGCCCTTCGATCATTCTGTAACCCTTTGCCACCGCCCTCCAACGGCAAACATCGGCCATGGCGAAAATCGAGGAGAAGAAAAGAAGTGTAGGAAGAAGAGCCGATTGGTTGTTGGCGTTGTTGTTGGTCACTTTCACCGACATGGAGTTGCCTCCTCTGGTGTGAATAACCCGATGTCGCATGGTCGCACCATGGAGTTAGGTGCTCCTTGCCTGGGACGGAGAAGAAGAAGCCCGCCTGACTCACAAGGGAGAATACGACAATGGGCATTTTAAACCTTTCATTTAATTTTAGTCATATAATCGTCGTAAATAAAAACTACTCCCGTTTTTGTTTCAAGTATACTTCGGCCATTATTTCAAGTATAAATGGAAAAACTAATGAAAGGTGAGCTTTCTTCGAATCTTGGTGAGGAATTGAAAGATATGATGAATATTTTTTTTCAATATAGGGACTTGATCCGAGATCAACGGCAAACCTATTCTTGAACGGGATTTGCATCGGGGAAAAGAAAGTAGGGGAAGAAGAGTGTTTCATAGTGAAAATGGAGACAAGTGCAGAAGTGTTGAAAGCACAAAGCACATCCAACACGAAAGTCGTTCACCACACAATGTGGGGAAGTTTTAGTCAAAGGACTGGTCTCCTCATCCAATTTCAAGACACCAAGTTGGTAAGGCTGAAGACAACATCCGCCAATGACGATGATCGGAGCGTGTTCTGGGAAACAAACATGGAATCTGTGTTGGAAGGCTATAGATATGTCGAGGGAGTCAACATTGCACATGGAGGGAAAACCACCGCTATGATATATAGGTATGGGGATGATAAGAGCTATAGGGCAATGATTGAGGAGACTTGGAGAATCGATGAGATTGACTTTAATATTTGTGGTTTGTGTCAAGATTCCTTTTTAGCACCCGCGTACTAATTGTTATTAGTAATTCTTGGTCTACCAAAAGGTGTATACTTTTTTAAAAATTGACAACAATAATATCTTCTTTCACCAGTTTTCTTATAATTATCCACATTTACGTAATCTTAGAATGATCTCATCTTTGCATCCCATATTCTTTCATTAGGTCGTGAACGATTGAGCAAAACAAGCAAATCAATATCTACAACACGCAAACTAATGTATGTGGACAAACATTATTTTTTTCTTGAGTAATATTTTAGATTTTTCAACTTGATTTCCTTACACAGACCAAATTTGTCTATGATAAAACTAGTAATCTTCATCCAATGCAACTCGTGTGTATAAAAGGTTGATGCAAATATCATTTTCCAATTGCTATTTGCTGACTCCCTAAGTCCAGGTTAATCTTTAAAAAATGTGAAATAAAACTGAGGTTAACCTTCTTTGAAAAAAGGGAAAACAATACGTTAAAGAACAATAATACACACACGCGCACACACACACATATTATATAGACTCAAGGTTAAATCCTATAAAATACAAAAGTCTAGGAAAACGTTAATTAGTTTTCAATTTAAGTGTATTGTTGTTCTAAAGGTTTGGCACTGATATTGCCAATAAATGCATGGCAATGAAAAAAAAGATTGAGAAAGTTTTACCCATTTATTGTCTGTAAAATATATCTCTATTCTTAAATAATTAAGATGTGCTAAATTTTCACATGCTTTACTTTGACTATATTTTATTTATTAGTGTATTGTTAGAATTTCAATTCTTGACAAATATTATTTAACTTATCTGATTTCAAATTTTCAAAATCTGGACTTAAAAAAAAGTTACTAAAGAAAAATTAATTAAATATATTAAATTTCAAAATTGTGCATTTTTAAATGCGAAAATGGAAGTGTTTCAATTAAAAGAATGAATGAAGTGAAGAGTCGGCCCTAGGGAAAACCCTACGCGGTCATCCCTAACTTCCTTCAAGATCTAATTTTTCATCCATTTCTTCTTCAATCAGCAAAATTTTTGGAAGATGGTGACATTCTCTATGCAGTGAAAGATCGAATCAAAGCTTTTCTATGCATCCGCTGTTTTTTACTTTATATTTTGAGGATTTTGTCCGGCTTGTCACGCCCCGGACCTATCCGGACACGTCAACAATCCGCCGTACAATATGAATAGTCAATCGGAGTCTAACTCATCCATATTATACAAGGCGTCTCGAATATCATTCACACATTAGTCATCCATAAACAAACATAATGTAAAACATTTATTAAAGCAGCGGAAACATTAATACAAGTGTTCAAGCCACACTTGGCAACTTAGGCATACAAGCCCTCAAATAATTATTCAAAAATAATATCCATGAGCATTATTCATATTGTTTTCAAAACAGAAACGGAAGAAGCACGAACAAAGTCTTCTTCCTTTGATCTCCCCGAAGCAATGGGCGGTGGTAGCAACCTTCAAGTTCTACCTGTAACTGTGAGGTGGCCTCCCCCGTGAAGGAGAGGTCAGTACTTTGAAGCATTTGAAAAGTACAATGACAACTACACTGTATATAATCAATGTTTCAATTTTCTAAGACCCTCAATCTAGGGTGATACTATATTATAGGCCGTAACCCTCTGTTACCCTATTCAAAACCTACTTACCTTATATATAAGGTCAAGTAGTCGGCCTATGGGCCCATGCTTACCTTATTACGTCATTTCACCATAGTATAGTCACACTCACCGATATCATTCCGTCGTGCTAGAGGCTGACTCTAGTCACTCCATTTCGTGCTAGAGGCTTCCTCTAGTCACTATACATTATGCTAGAGGCTTCCTCTAGTCATTTCCCGTCGTGTTAGAGGCTTCCTCTAATCACTCTTCATTATGCTAGAGGCTGACTCTAGTCATCTTACGTTGTGCTAGAGGCTTCCTCTAGTCACCTTTCCATATGTTAGAGGCTGCATCTAATCATATCATTAAGATTCCTAAGCAACTTCTATGCCTAGAATCACTTGATATTGAGTAGTCTTTGAGGCCTACTCCTAGCTTAACTTAGCATTTATACATTCCTACCTTAAGGTATCTCATAGGACTACTTAAGGTACAACTTTCATAATCCAAGCCCTTAGGATTTATTCTATCAATTTTCATGCTAACATTCCAACTAGTATTTCAATACTAGTCAAATAATCTTAGAACATCCAAGTTCGAATTTACGATCATATTGCTCATCTCAAGTGATTTTCCTTTTCAAATATGATCTAATAATCTTAATGTCACAATATCACTTTTATCCATTCATGAATTTTCTACATGAAGTAAAAGCATATCTTCATATCACTCTTATCACAATATTTCATAAGTTATTTCATTATCATGCCCTCATATTCATAATACACAATCATACACAATTTCCTCCAAATTTGTATATCATGCTTCATTTACTCATATGCAATAGTATTTTCATTTAGGCATTATTAATCATTAATAATCCATGAAAATCACAATTAATACTTTAGGCAATCTTATGAAATTAACTCACTAATTATAAGCAATATAGCCGGTCATCCTCACCTCAAATGAGCTTTAAATTGATCATTCTCAACCCAATTCTCAAGCTTCAGCCAAGGGTGTTTGAGAACTGATTCCTTGCTTGTAAATGGGTGTTAAATAGCCTCCTCAAGGTGCTAGCTCAACCCCTAAACGTCGATACGAAAACAGCCCCTAGAATGGGTGTTTTCCGGCGAACTCGTTTCCTAGTTTTTCCAAGATTGCTCTAGGTTAGCATCTAACCTTTAAAACAAATAAGGTACCCTTATAATAACATTTTATACACTTGAAATAGTGTATAATAGTTCCACCAATCGTTCATATCATTTGGAAAATGAAAAGAAAGGTTTTGGAGTTAAAACTTACTTTGGAAAGGAAGATCCGATTCTGCGAGGTTGTGTTTTGTTCGGACGATTTGGAGGCCTTCCACAACTCCGTTTGATGCACAACAGACGTCCACGGATTCCTCGTCTCGAGAGATTTCCGTAGACACATCACACGCCCTATGTGGACAACTGGAGATCAAGATACGAACCAGACAACACCTCCCTCTCCCTGCTCGAGCTTATGCGCAACAGTTCACTCAAGCTCGATTTTTATATGAAAATATCTCTCTTTGCACAGAAACCACCCAATAAGTCAACTAGACTTCAAGGGCTATCCAGGGACACCTCATTCACATTATTTGGTCGATTACAACTTCACTTATGGAGGGAGACAAACAGCACTCCCTTATTGTGCGAAAATAGACAAGGTGGGGTTCCCTCTTTACTTCCTTTGTCAAGTTCAGCCCCTAAAGTCAGCTGTGGCCGCCCTCTAACATTATTTTTCTTGTCTTGCAGGTGGAAGGAAGGTGTGTGGCGTACTCTTATGTCCCCTAATTAATTTAGGAGCAAAATATCCACCAATACTTCCAAAAGTGGAAAGATGAGTCCTATTGTTTTTGTCCATTGTCATAAGATGTACTTTTTGTACTCATCCCAATTTATTTAGATCAAGTCAACCTTCTAAATCATATTATTTGGTCTCTAATATGTGTAGGATGGTCCCAATAATTTATGGGATGTATAATTATAAAAGAAGACCCTACTCCCATTATTTAGCATAATAATGCCAAACATGGGACCATAGGCATTTGTATTCTTCTCTAATCATTCTATAACTTATTTATGACATTAATATTCATGTAGCTGGACTACTAACCGTGTGGGTCACCCTCCAGTGGGTCTAGGACGTCATTTTTGGATGATTGCTATTTTTAGCAGGTTAGGCCCAAAATAACATTTGGGTTGCCCGACCGCTCTTACTTTGTACCGAGGGGTTGTATATCTTTATTTAAGGATGTTGGGCCCCAATATTAATAATATGGCCCAATTAATTATTTAGGAGCCCATTATCATTATATGAGCCCAAATAGTAATACGATAAATTATACGTTCCGTAAAACTTTAATCGTTTTACAATCGTTCGAAAATAGGGAAATTCAATACATAAGCTTTGAAATTAAATTTAAATTTCTAGGACGTTTGGGTGCGGTGTCACACGGCTTCTTCATTGGCCGAGAATTTTGTTTGCTTCATGTGAGGTGTGGTATGTTATTCTCCTAGCAATGTCTAGAGGCCGTGTGTTTCCAATCCGTGTAATTGATCTAGTGAATTTTCATTGTTCATGGTTGGTAAAGCTTTTTCAACCTTGTTGTTCTGATACTTCATTTACTCACCCACCACCTGAACCACCGCCTCGATCTGGGAAGAAGATGATGCTCAATTGGATCTCCTTTTCGGTGGCTGGTCAAATCGATGATTCAGAAAATTTCTGCTCGACTAATTTTCCTTTGTAGGTTGCTGGTCAAACCATTTCTCCCTTTCCGGTGGCTGGTGAAGTTAGATCCTTAAGTTGTAATTTTTTATTTTCTCTTTGGTGTAGCAAGAAGAGCAGCAAGACTGTTATACTAGACTACAGTATTGCGGGGTTAGCGATCTAGAAGGATTCATTAGGTCTTTTCTGTTCTATGTCTCATCCCATTGTAGCCTTAGACTATTCGTTCTCTTGTATCTTTCCTATCTTTTACTAGTAAACTAGTTCTTTGATTTTCAAAAAAATGAAGGAAGTGTGATTTTTTATTTATAACATGACTATACATACAAATATACAAGTGTAAATAATTTTGAAAATGGTTACAAAAATTGTATGTACAATATATAGGACTTTAACTATATTAATTGAAGTGTCGGTTCAAGATACCACTTGAAATCTGGCCTAAACTAGTTGACATATATACTAGTTTGAGCCTCACGTATCCATGATAACTTCTACCATAAACTTGGTAAAATACCTTATTACTCATTGTTGCTCTTCAAATTTATATAAAAATATTAAATTAAGGTTACCAAGTGAATCATTTTGATCAAAATTTCAAAAATGTGGCTTTGCATAATTTAATGTGTCAACGTAATTCATTTTATAAACGAAATCTCTAAATTCATCATTATTAATACTTACGGTACGTGTGACGTAACATTTATATATTTAACCACAAGATTGAACCCGATTTAT